CACCCTCTGCCCTCTCCTCCCTCCCCTCGCCAATGGCTCCCTGCATAGTCGGCTGCACACCCTCTGCCCTCTCCTCCCTCTCCTCACCAATGGCTCCCTGCATAGTGGGCTACACACCCTCCGTCTGCCCTCCCCGGCAGTGGTTCTCAAAGTGAAATCCTCAGGCCAGCGTGGCAACATCACCAGGAGCTTGTGAGAAATGCATAATCTAACCTGTAACCCAGACCTGCTGAGTAAGAAACTCAGGAAGGACCCAGATTTTTTTTTTTTTTTTTTTTTTTGGCTAGAGGACACATGTGCTTGACAGAGGGAGAGGGAGAAGCATTTCACGTGGGACCTGGTCACACCACAATCCTGTCTGCATTTTTCCACCCTGTTGGAATTTGGGCCAAGCGTGCACACATGTCCAGCATGGTTTTCAAGTTGTAGGGTCAGGTTTCGAACTGTGGTCCTCCATGTGGGATCCAGCTCCTTTAACGACTAGGCCAAGCTAGCCCAACCCCGAGTCTTAACACATCCAGGTGATTCTAATGCAGTTGAAGTTTGAGAATGTATGCCCTCCACTCCCCCAGAGATCTAAAATGTGCACAGAACCTTTAAAAAGTTCATGGGAGTGAGGGCCAGCAGGTGGCACGGTGGTTAAGATGCCGGACTCCCACATGGCCACTTGCAGTACGAGTGGTTTGCGTTCTCACTTTCTCTTTCTTTCTGTCCCTCTTTGGTGAGTGTATATGCCCCATAGCAAATTAAAATAATAATAATAAAAATAAATAAATCATAAATAAAATTATCTTTTAAATTATTTATTCAATTTTATTTGTCCTTGATACTCTTCAATTTGACCAGGGGTTGGCGTAGTGAGAAAGCAAGCCACCAGGTCTAGGACTTGAACCATGGTCAGCCACATGGGAGTCCAGTGCCTCAACCACCATGCCACCTGCCAGCCCCAAATTAATAATTTTTTTTAAGAATTATTTTTTATGTAATTTTTATTCATTGTCATTATTATATATGTGTGTGTGTATGTATGTATGTATATATATATATATATATATATATTTGAAGTTGACCAGAGAGAGACAGCAGAAGAGAAGTAAAGTGAGAAAGCAAGCCACCAGGTCCAGGACTTGAACCATGGTCAGTCATGTGGGAGTCCAGCCACTTCAACCACCATGCCACCTGCTGGCCCCGCAAATGAATAATTATTAAAAAAAGAAAAAAGTTTGTGGGAGGCCAGCAGGTGACATGGTGGTTAAGGCACTGGGTTCCCACATAGCTGACAACGGTTTGAGTCCCAGACCCAGAGTCTTGAAAATCATGCTGGGTATGGGTGGGTGTGCACCCCAAATTCTGAGAGGAGAATGGAGTAGGAGCTGTGGTGTGGCCATGCCCTTGGGGAATGATTTCTCACTTTCTCTCTCAATCTCCCCAGCAAGCACCTGTGCCCTCTGGCAAAAACTTAAAACAAAAAGGTTGTACAAAGTTTTTATGATGAAAAAA